CCAAGATGGCTTCCAGCTTTACATCCAGGACCCCACAATTCACAAAAAAAGGAACTGGAATATCCTAATAATTAGAGCTATTCCAAAATGACATAAGCTTCCTTCTAACTCTACTCTTTCTCCATCTCTAGAAATATTCAAGCAGATATTTGCATGACAACCTGTTAGCAACATTGTAGAATATATTCCTTCATAGGGTAAAAATATTGACCTCTAAGGCCCCTTCCACAATAAGATCCTGTCTATAGCATCTCACAGATATTCCGATGCAAATGGCAATTAGTTGTAGATACCACGGTGTCTACACGAGGTACAGTCATTCTTATACACACTTAGTCCTTTCTCTTCTTTAGCAAGTGGAGAAAGAATATTGGAGAATCCCACCACTAGTAGAAAATGCTGGGATGCAAAGCATCTCTCCTTGCTTTGGAGGAGCACGGAAAAGCTGACTCAACAGGAGTGTAGTAACCTCATTTTCATCCACGGTGCACCCTGTCCATCTTAGGTCTTCTTCTATCCTGCCCCACCCAGACAAGAGATGCAGCTTCATAAGAGAGATCAGGCCAGGGTCTCACTCATTTTTCCCCCTGTTCTCTCCCTTTCCTTCCCTCTTCAGTATTCCCTTCAGAGGCAGCAGACAAGATAGGAAGAATGGTAAGGTCCTGCTGACAGTATCCTCTCTCTTAATGAGGAACAGTACCCAGGAGGATGGTTCCTTCCAGCTTGCCACACTGGGATTCAGTCTTTCAGCTGAGGATGCGAGTTGTTACACTATACAGGTCACATAAAAAGACACAGAGTTCCCACATAAATCATTTCTATCTCCACCACTGAAATTTCATTCCATTCAAAGCATTCCAAACAGAAGCCTTGCTCATCAAGGTAAAATTAAAGCTACCATGTGAGAGAGGAGCCTCAACTCAAGCTGAGAATAAAAATAATAAATAAATTAAATAAATAAACAAATAAGTGAGTAAATAAATAAATAGAGGGCTTCTGTCCTTCCTTCCATCTTGCAACATCCCTAGTTTCCTTCAAGGCTCAGCTGAAGAGCTACTTCCTGATCAAGGTTAGTCCTTGTCCCACTAGTTGGCAGTGACCTGTTGCAGCTCTCCCAGCCTCTCACAACACCAAAATGTGCTGGCTATGTGATCATGGTCAACTCATACTGTGCCTCACATAATCTCTGGTTATGACCCCAGTAGCTGCATTGTACCAACTATGCCTCCCTACCCTCTCAATCTCACTGCCCTGGTCTAGTTCTGAAGCCATAATTAAATCAATAGTGGCATTGCTATTGGAAATGGGGAGGTGTCAAATACTTCCCTATGGCACTACCCTCCATCCTTGCAACTTTCACAATGGAGATAACCCTCTCTAACCATCTTTAGATGTTGTCTTCCCCCCTATTAGAATATAAGTTCCACTCCTGCAAAAAAAAAAAAAAATGGTTCCCCTTGCTAGGAAAAAAAAAAAAACTGTTCCTCTTGCCAGAAAAAAAAAATGTAATCTGTCAAAGGGCTGAGACTGCATTCCCTTTTCTATTTCTATACCCAGTGTTAGCACAGTGCTTGGCACACATTGTCATTGCTTAATAAATACTTTTACTCTCCTATAATTTTTGTATATATATTATCCATTTGTATTCATGTTGTTTCTCCCAATAGAATGTAAGCTCACTGGGGGGTATGGAGTGACTCTTTTTTGTCTTTGTATCTTTGATCACCTAGCACAAAAATCTGACACAAAGTAGCTGCTTAATAAACACTTGATGAATGAATGAACAATTCAGATCCAAGATAGTACTTTATCTTCCTTAACATAAAGGGACTGTTTTTGCCTTGGTTATATACTTAACTGTGTCAGCTTGACATTCCACTCTCCATGAGCAGGCTGAGACAATGCTAAGTCTAAAAGTCCATACCAGCCATTAAAGGTAAGAGAATTAAGTCAGTGTGCAAGGGGAACCCCTATCTATTATAATCTTACATAATTTATGGGCATGTCATTGATATTCAAGATGATGGTATGATCAAGACAGATCATTTAACACACTTATCAAATTTCAGATTGCGCTACCTCATCAAATGTATCTGGAAAACTACTGGGGGTTTGGAGGAAATATGCTTGTGCCTGCACCGTTGAATGTGTTTGTCACGGTAATGGCAGTATTTCCCTTTCCATTTGGTTGTGATCAAACCTGGACCATCACATATTAAATGACTCTTGGACATAAGTGCAGTCTATCCAGGGTTTGGTCATCAATTTCACAGTCCCGTTCAGGATGCAGATCTCTGCTCTTAAAGGCACCGGGGCTTGCAATCATATAACTGAGCAAGGAAACAATCCTGCAATTATAGACCAATTGTGAAGCTAATAAAGGTGGCTGATGATTTTCCACAGAAACGCTGGTAAAAATTTCCAAACTGATAAGAAATGCAATGGAAATCTCACTGAATTTAGAGGGAGAGAACCTCCATTGGGATCCCAACATGGCTACCATGTATGTCCTCAAGCAAACTGCTTCCCCTGTCTGGGCTTCAGGTTCTGTAAAATAAAGGGGACTGGATGGGATGTCGCCTCCAGATCTGGACTGAGGATCTAAGCAAATGCCCAAATAGGTTTGGTTTTCTTTTGTTCATTGTTTGTGTTCTAGCAGGGGTATGGGCAAAGCCTGAGCAGCTAAGTGGCACAGTGCATAGAGCCCCTGGCCTGGAGTCAGTGAGATTCATCTTCCTGAGTTCAAATCTGGCCTCAGACACTTACCACTTGTGTGACCCTGGGGTAAGTCACTTCACCCTGTTTGCCTCAGTTTCCTCATCTGTAAAATGAGCTGGAGAAGGAAACAGGAAACTGTCCCAGTATCTTTGCCAAGAAAACTCCAAATGGGGTCAAAAAGAATTGGACAGGACTGAAATGGCTCAACAACAAGAACATGGGCAAAGCTACACATTCATTAGAAGAGACTAAAGTTGGCGCAGCCTCTGGTAACTGCCTCTCAACTCTGCCTGGATTCTCAGAAAGGCAGCGACATTTAAATCAAGGAGAGCTGCACCAAGAGCGATTTGAATGACAAATGAGAAGAGGAAGGCGTCTCTGGTGGATAAAAAGCCTGCTTGCCAGTTTCATTTGGCTAAGGGCCCTTGGTATAGCTATAGCTTAGGTTCTATGTTACTTGTGGAAATTCCTAATTAGATCCTGAGCTTGGAAACAAATGTTATACTCTTGCAAGAATTCTGAAAAGTTTGAGCTGTCAATGTTTCACATGCTGTTGGGTTTTAGTTGGGAACCATGTCTTTATCTCCTCCCCTCCCCTCCCCTTATCTACCACTAAATAAAAGTCACTTATTAAAAAGCTATCCAAACAATTAGATAGCATGCTAGACTTGGAGTGAGGGTTCAAAGCTTGCCTCTGACAGGCACTGAACAAGTCACCTAACCACCCTGAACCTCAGTTTCTTCATCTGTAAAGTGAGGATAATAAAAGTTATAGATTTGACCTGACAGGTTTCTCGTTAAGTGCCAGCGAGGCAGTTTACACAGCTGGAAGCACTGCATAAATGTGAGGGACTGGGAGGCAGTCTGGCATTGCATATAGACAGAGTTAGCCCCATAGTCAAGAAGGTCGGGGTTCAGGTTCTATCTCTGGAGCACACTGCCTGTGTGACCCTGCACAAGTCCCTTCATGACTCGGGGCCCAGGCATCTCTCCAAGTTACTAAGCAGGTGCCGATCTGCAGTGGTAATAAAAATAATGGCTAATAATTATACAGGGCATGCAGGTTTGCAAAGCACTTTATTCGAGGGATCCTTCCTATAAAGAGCCTGAGAAGACAGTGTTCTTCTTATCCCCATTTTACAATTGGAGAAACTGAGGCTAAGAGGAATTCAGTGACTTGCTCAGGGTCTTATGGCCAGCATATGTCCAAAGCAAGTTTCGAACCCACGTCTTCCAGACTCCAAGTCCAGCATGCCAATAACTGTTACTCCGCCTCATTGTTTTCCTATCCCAGAGAAATTGCAGGTCTGGGCCCCCAAATCAATAAATGTCAGTTATTTTTCAGCAGATCCCCCTGCCTTTGAAAGTGTGAAAAGAGCAATGACCAAACACAGAAACTTTGCTTTAATGTCAGCAGTGCCTTAGTGTCTTTGTTTTAAATGTCCTACTCCAGCAGAAGAGCCGATTTGCCTCGTGGCCCTCTAATTATCACAGACAAACCTCTCCCTTGTTACGTGAACCTCTCCGGGGCTTGCTTTTAACAAGAACTCATTAGGAAATTCTCAGTGCAGTCTGAGATGCACCTCGGTCTGATACAGAGGTAAGTTTATTCCTTGAGGACTGCTTCTCTTTAAAGAAGCCAGGAGCTAACTCACTAGCAAAGAGCCCCAAGTAATAACAAGATCAGTGGCGATCTCTTCAAGCAATGCCATCAGGCAGGACCCAAAAAGCACGAAAGGAAAACTTGCCAGAACTTTGCCCGGCAGTTTTCCCCCTCAAGATGAGTTCCTCCCGCTCTCTCCTCCCTGAATTCCAAGCATCTTTGCCCAGTTTACAAAGTCCGAGCTCCTGGCTGACTTCACTCCATCGCCAGCCGAGGCTCCCTAAGTCAAATGCAGCAGCAGCCCCAGCACGGGACTGCGCCCCACACTGACAGGGTGGGCGAGCCCCTTTCTTCAACAGGTGCGAAAAAGAAAAAGACGAAGACGAAGAGGAAGAAAAGGCCAGCAGGAAGGGCACACCTTCTGCCTGGTCTCCCCCCACCTTCCGCCCCATCAAAGGCAGGGGAAATCTGTGCCTCGGGTTTCGGTCTCTGCCGCCTCCCCCTCCCCCAACCACCCGAAAAGGGAAAATCAGATAAAGAACTGAGGGACGGGGGCACGAAGCTAATCGCAGGGCGCAGTCATGCTGGGAAGGGACAATGGGCCCCGGTGCTTTCTTTCTCTGGCCTCGCTGCAGAGCCCAGTGTGAGGAAAAGAAAGGGAAAGTGTGTACTGAGTTACCCTCCATCTCGTAGATGCGGACGCTCGTCTCTGCGGCCTCAGTTGCTGCTGGCGATGCCCGTGCTCGCTGAGCCTGGGAGGGAGAGGAGGGCTCTGTCACCTCCCTGCCGGCTGCTGCAGGCTGCTGCTGCCTTCGCAGCTGTCTAAGGGCGGCGCCTACTGCTGCTGCTGCTGAGGCTGCCCCTGGGATCCTCTGGGCGTCCCCGAGCCTGGTGACAAATAGCTGCAGGTGGAATGGAACACCCCCTCCCCCCCCGCGCCCCCTCGTCCAGGAGCGCTGTGAGCACACCGTGTACGCCTTCCACTTCTGCGGTGCAGTCTGTACTCTATCCTTTATGATCACGTCGTCTTCCACTCTGCTGCCCCTTTTTTTGAAACTCCTTTGAGCCCCAAGATGCATCCACTTCCCCAGACACAGAAAGGGTGAAGGCTCCTACATCTAGAGCTGAAGGGGCCTCCAAGTCTATCCAGTCTAGCCCCTTGTTTTTTGCTTGTTTGTTTTTTGCTAGGCAACGGTTAAGTGACTTGCCCAGCGTCACACAGCTAGTGTGACAGCTAGCTACTTGACACTTGTCAAGTGTCTGAGGTCGGATTTGTACTCAGGTCCTCCTGACTGCAGGACCAGTGATCTGTCCACTGCTGCCCCTAGCCCCTTCATTTTTACAAATGGAAAAACTTAGGGCCAGGGATGTTAAGTGACTTGCCCAAGGTCATATAGGCAGGTAGTGAGAGGAAGAAGCAGAATTTGAACCTTGGTCCTCTGATTCCAAGAGCAAGCGTTCTTTCCACTTTCAATTTGCTGAGCTGGAGACAGGTCTTGGGCAAGAACAGGCAGCAGTAGAAATCTAGAGTCAGACTTCTTCAGAGGTCTTTTATTAGTAAGGTCTAGCTCAGTGCTTGGCACATAGCTGGTGCTCAATCAGTGCATGTTGAATGATTGGTTTCTTCAGCTCTAGATGGGAATGCAAGGCAGTGTGAGTAGGGGAGAGTGGGAAAGGGCAGCACACAGCCTGCTAGCCGCCTCCCCCCCATTTCTTGGGGGGCACCTCTGGGGTATGTGAGGCTTTGGAAGGGGAGGGCTTTGGACTAGGGCTTTTTTCCAGCCTTTAGGTAGGAGATTAGGCTCAGCAGGTGCCTGGGATCCCAGAGGTTCCCACCTGCTCCTCAGTTGTGTGGCCAGGTTCCCAGGCTGGTCTAGCTTTGCAAGATGAGCCCGTTGATATTTAGGTCCTGTGGCCATGCCAGCTTTAGCTAGCTTGCTTAGTAGAGGCCTATTTTAGGGCTGGGCAGGGCCTGCTGACCATTCAGTACTTCTTTTTTTTTTTATTTAAGTACTCTAAAAGTGAATCTCTTTTCCTAGGATAGAGTTTCAGGCTTTTGAGACTGGCTGGATATCAAGACCTCTGGGAGTGCAAAGGAGAGTGAGTCTGTGTGAGTATGTGTGCAAGGGGGGTGTAGGGGTGGGGAGGGAATTTGATAAGGAGGGGAGGAGAGCATGAGTCAGAAATGTGTCATACTGACCTTCAGAGGATCATAGAGAGCCAGAAGGTTCACAGGACCTTAGATTTAAGGTTGCAGTGGACTAGAGAGTTCATCTACTATTACCTGCCTTATTTTCCAGATAAGGACATAGACCTTTAGAGATTGAGTGATTTGCCCAAGGTCTCACATAGGATAGGCTTCAGAGGTGGGATTTGACCCCAGGCCCCCTGACTCCAAAGCCAATGTTCTTCCCCCTGGAGGAGGTGGTCATAGCCATGCAGCTAATAAATATCAGGGGTAGAATTTACACCTAGATCTTTCAAATATAAATCAACTGATGGCTCCTCTTTGAGTGTGTTTCCTTTTATCAATTCTTAAAACTGAAGTTGTATGTATGAAAGAAACAATTTATAAATGCCAAGGAAAAAGAATACTGATTGCAATTTATGATTCCCATATGAAACATTTGGACACAAGGTACTGTATTTTTTTTCCCTATCTTGTGAGAAATGAAAAATGATCATGATAGACAGGAAGATAAATGATGTCTTCTCGTCAGCAGCATGGAGGTCCTTATTCCCCAGGGGAGGAAACAGCCTGTCCCTAGCTTACCTACACCCTAATGTTAAAATTGAAAAACTGGCCCAAGGAATCAATGATAATTCTGTGCATATTTGACATCAAAATGAAAATCTCTCCTAGGTTTCACTAGATAAAAAGACAGGTACCCAGATCCTTAAAGGTAAATAATCAGAGAATCTCAGACCTGGAAGGGACCTCAGAGTCCATCTTGTCCAACCCAGACCTGACCAAGATTCCCCTCTGCAATATACCCAACAAGTGGTCAGCCAATCATCCCTGGAAGAACTCAAGTGAAAAGACTAGTCTCAAGGCAACACATGCTACTTTTGAATACTTACAATCTCTTAGCTAGATTTTGCCTCAATGTTTCCACCCATCATTTCTAGTTCTGTCCTCTCTGGGGCCAAACAAAACAAATTTAATCCATGCTATTTAAGGACATGCCTGCCACCCCCACCCCCCAGGATTCTCTTCTTCCTCGTTTACTTCAAACCATCCCATTTTAGTGTCCCTCCTCGGGATGATCTCCAGGTGATAGATGTCCTTCCTAAATGAGAAATACAGTAATAGACTCTTGATAATTAAAACAGAGGGAGGAAGGGAAGGGAAGGGAAGATAAGGGGGAAGAAAGAAAGCACTTATTAAGGACTTTCTATGTTTCAGGCACTGTGCTAAGCACTGAGGATACAAATATAAGCAAGCAAGGGCTTACATTTGAATAGGGGAAGTCAGTACATTAGAGGAGTTTCAGCCAAAGACAGCAGTGATTGGAGTCACAGGTCAAGTGCTTAACACATCCTTTCCAGCAGTACTGGTGTTGATTTGATTACTGTCCTCAGAGTTGAGAGGAATGAAGAGGGTGCATTCCTAGAAGTGATGGCTAGGAAGTAACATGGAAGGTCTGAGACAAGACAAGATAAGAAACTGATTACACGTTAACTACTAGCAAGAGACGACCAAAGTAAGTCAAGCTATGGGATGGGGAATGGAGCTCTGTGTAGGGTGTGTGAGGTCATATGTACATTCACATGGGTTGTCTAAATACGGCTCAACTAGAAGCATGAATAGATAACTCTGCAATGTGGACCTCCCCTCTCTTTGGGAGACTTTGATTCTTTCCTGGAAGGGAGCAGAAGAAGGGGCCACAAGCCTACTCACACTGTTCTTTTCTGAGAGATGGACACTAGTCTAGAAGTTTATCTATTTGCCACCCTAAATATTGCTGGTCTAGGGGAATTATTTCTTTTAGTTAAGCAGCTTTTCTGGTTACTATACATTAAGAGGGAAAAGGTACCTCAAGTTTATATGCACAGGCTTGACTCCTTCACAACAAATTCTAGTTACACAAAAGACCATCATAAATAGGAAAGAGTGATTGAACTCATTTATCCAAGCAAATATCAAACAGAGATCAGAGAAATTATGTAGATGAGAATATACCAAAAATATTTCAGATTAATGAAGAGAGTCTTATCCAAAGGGAAATTCTCCAAAGTCTCTAAGGAAATAAGCTGGAAACTGGGAACATTGGAAGTGTTCTTTCCCTACATGTCTGTCTCCAAAGTCGGTGTCTTTCTCCATGGGTTTCTCCCTGAAGAGAGACTACGATCATTTGGTTCTTCTCTCAAAGCAAGAATAAAGAATGTCTCTCCTCACCCCTCACAAAGACACATAGCATTGACTCATCATCCTCTCTCCCAGTGAGAAGAATCTTATGCAAATACTCCAGCTGTGAAACTTATTCTATTCCCAGCTTCTTTCTTCTCCACCCCATACCTTCCAATCAGACACAGACTTTGAGATTACAGGTACCACTCTTCACCAACCAGATCAACTTCAGCATTTGTCAAGTCCTTGGGAAAAGTGAAAATCTGTTTTCAAAGATTGCAAAATGAATTCCCTAAAAACATTGCATGAAGTTTTGCCTCCTCTTCTCCCCACCACCCCTATACCTCATTCCAAAATTTTCATCATTTCAAGATGCTGGCCTGAGGGAAGGAGCAATTGACTGCTAGCAGAAAATGAGCTGCCTTTGCCCAAAGTCTCTTCATAAAAGGAACTTTAGTTATTCTCTGTAATATCAGAAGACAAATAGAATCAAGATGAAGATTGGGTCCAGTGTCACCAGGCTCCAATGTATTCTTCATTTTTCCCACCCTAGCATCTTCTCCCCCTCCTCTGCCTGGCACCTTTTAAGCCCCTTCCTCTGTCAAAGCTGGAAAGGAGCTTATATCATTTACACTTTGCCTGAAACTAATTCACACCAACATATTAACTCTCTAAGGTTGTTGCATTTAAGCCTTTTATCTCATAAGTGTGGAATAAAAGACTGCCTCTTATGTAAGTAATTTCAGGCAATAACTAGCTAAGTAGGAGGGTTTGGAAAAAGTGCAGAAAACCATTTTGGTCCTTAAATCAAATTCAGCCTAAGGCTGGACCTGAAGAAAAAATGGTCACCTCTCTTTTAGAGTGTCTAGGACAGCTATTTCACAAGGGAGAAGGGTAACCAGACTGGTGCCTTCTTGTTATCACTTCTTATTTCTCATTTCATAGGACTGAAGTATTTAAAGCTGGAAGAGCTCAGAGAGGAGCCAGTCTAACTATCTCAAATTACAAATGAAGAAACTGAGGCCCAGACTTCAAATCCAGGGTCTCTAACTTCCCTCAAGCATTGACTCAGGTCAGGGAACCTGCCTTCAAATCCCACTCTGATTTGACCTTGAGCAAGTCCCTCCACATCTCAAGGTCTTGGCCTCTTCACTGGAAAAACCAGGGAGGCTGGCCTAGGTAATTCCTAAGTATTCCCCAACTCCAAATCAATGATCTTATGACATGAATGTTTTACTGTCATGTCTCTGTTCCAAGACAATCAGGTATCTAACCTTCAGAGCCCATTGCTATGGGCTCTTTCTCTTGCCTCTTCTGACATGGGTCTTCCTCAATTATTCTACCCCTTTCCCACACCTTCTAGCAAGATGAGTCTCTCTTCCAGAACTTTGAGATCCTCATGGTCCAAAGTTTCCGCTGTCTTGAGTTCTCCAGCACTCAGCTCAGACAACAAAGAGCT